AAATTCTGTACCCTCCAAGATACACGAGCTAGCAAAATGCCATAATCTGATGATCGTTTGCTATAAATAAAGCTGAATTTCGCCTAAACTGCCCCCATATTGGTTGAGCGTCGTGTACTAATTGGAGAATTGCCGTTCACACATTCATCTGCTGATAGTAGATCGTGGCCGGAAAGTGCTATATCCGTTTGGTCATCCAACGTCCTAGGCCCAAGAGTAAATGAGCAAATACAGTGAAAACTGTCGGCGTGTAGCTTGTTTCGCTCCTCATCGGATGCCACAGACATGGATTATGAACTGTGTGATATGCATGCCCAAAAATAGTGGAGGAATGTGGTGTTCATCCGTGCATATGATTGACGCTAACTTGAAAGCAGACGCTTTCGTGGACAAGATTTTTGGTTTTTTGAACTGAGATATGGAACTCAAGGTACATCCAAATAATTTTGGACTAAACGATTAATTCGGGAGAATCGGGTTGTCATTCGTTGCACGAAACCATGTTCAAAATGCTCTCATAGAATTTGCAGGTAATTTTCAACCAGTTAGTTTTCAAGAGATTTAAAACTCTTTGAAAAATGTTATCCACGACAACCAAGACTTCGGACTGTACTATTAGAACCCATCGAGTCAAATTTTCATGACGAATTAACAATACATTCTGCAGACTGCCCTTCAAGTTATGGCGACTGTAAGAAAAAAGAGTTGTAGTTCACTCTGTGCACCATTTTGTACCATCATAGTAAGAATAGACAATTTAGCTAGTCGTTAAAAAATAACTCACGGCGGTTTGTAGTTGCATACATAAAGCGTAGTTCCGTTCTTAGGACAGTGTTTAACCCCACATCCGAGACTTGTTGAACTAGCCCAAGCCATCTGAAATAGTGTGGTATAATACGGTGCGGTGCAGTTTTGACTACGAGTGAATGAGTTTGTCACATTTATGAGCACTTTTGTACACAGGATGATTCATCATGTTTGGTAAACGCTAGGAGAAAGTTGAAGGTTCGGGGGAACACTGCTGTCCGCTCCGTAGTTTTATGGTATTACAATATCATGTTATCTAGACATGTGAAAATCGTTTTGGCTGATAAGAAAACATGTGACATCACCTGGAAATCGGATTCAGCTGTTAACATAAGCAGTACAAACACAAAATTTTGAGACAATCGGAGTGCCAAACGGTATAGGAATTTTTAAGTTTTAGAACGAAAACCGAAACTGATTTTGTTCGAGTAAATTTACCTTACCTATCTTTATCTTACCTATGGTGTTCTGTGAAGAATTAGTGTGACTTGCCGGGTAGAAGCGTTTTGGTCATCTCAAACCTGGTGGATGCATAACGAAACCTAAACACGAAGCACCTTATCTGTTGGCGTCAATCATCTCAGTAAGCCTTCCGAAAAGTTTTTACTGTTTTATCAGGATCATGTTTGCTCCTTATGTTGAATTCCTTTTGCCCAGTCACTGAGGGTTACCAAGTGTCCTATTTTTATACAACAGGCCTTGCTGGTCTACACAAATACTCAAATGAGTTATGTCCATTCTACACATCACATTCGCAAAAACGAATAACAAGCGATTAGGGGTGTAACGAAAGTGTGATCGCGTCCCGAAAAGCTGAGTAACATGAGCGCTGTCGTCTTTGACCAGGCTAGGAAACGACCCAGAGGGATTGAACACGTGATATCCGCTAAAAATTTCAGGCTTTCATTTCAAAACTATGAGTCCACTAGCAAACTTGTGAGATGATGAATTTCGCCATGATGCGCTATTCGCAAAACCAAATTGGTTTGCTGATTAATTTCCGTTAGGTGTGAAAATTCATTTGAGCCAGACGTTGAAACATTCGTTTCCTGAGAGATGGTGACTAATCAGCAATCGTCGTGAACTTTACAAGTACCATACCGTGATACAGGATTTGACAAAATGCTAAGCATTAGTATCAGGCTTGTATAACGGCATCCACCTACTGTTGGTCATCCGATATTCAAACCGGCCAACCACACTCGAAACGACTGAGCTGTAAGAAAGCCAAAAGTCAGCGTACTAGGGTAGGTTGGCATCCTACCTGGACCCAATGGCTCAGATGCCGCGCGAACAGTTCCATTAGAAAACACCGGCTAACTTCCAGTAATGTGAACAGGCGTAAAGTGAGCAGCTTCTACTTGAGTAGAGTACAAAAGAAACAGTCCACTTTTGCGCGATTATAATTTCTGCCCCATATCCGAAAAATCCTAGTGACTGTGCAGTATATTCTATGCACCAATGGCGGTCTTTCTCAATGACAGTAAGCTATTATTCACTATTCGTTATTCCCGAATGTCTTAACAACTTTAAAGAGAGTCAAAATAAAGTATGCATCTGCCGCGATAATAATTTGGTCACAGGTAAGTGGCTAATCCCGTGGTGTTATGAGGAATGACGTGTGAAAGGTCAAGTAGTTCATGGCGAGTGTAGGCAACCCATCAATTAGGACAGACAACGAAAATGTCAAATGTGGCCAAAGGACATAAGCTGACTGGGCCGGGTCGGTCAACCATTATTTTTGAGTTTAGACATGAAACGCAATGGGATACATCCTACTAGAACAAACCAGGAATGTGGTAATTCAAATACAGAGCGCAGAGAAAAAAATCAACACAAATCCAAAATGTTCTATTACCAGAGCCTGGCATAAATAAGGAGTGAAACAAAACTGAGAGATTGCAGTGAAATCGCAATGTTAGTAACTTGGCATTTCTGAGCACAAATAGGGAACAGCAACGGGAGAAGAAGCATATGCTTATGCTGGTAAAAACTGCGAAAGGATCTTTGATGTGGCCACTGGCTTGTCAAGTTGTCTGTCCCTCGGCATGTATATCTAGAGCTGATAAATTGAGTTTTATATGGTGTGTGGATGCAGTAGGTTTATCTTCGGCGGTGGTGATGCTCACGTTATCTCCTGAACGGATAGCAATTTTGGGACACTATGAAATGGGTTGACTGACGACTTCAACCAGTGGTTAATGAATGAGAAAACTGTAGCATTCCTGAATGGCAGAGAGAGATAGGATGCCCCGTTTGGTGCCGCTGAATAACCACAACGAGGGTGTCTTCTCTGATCACTTATCGATAAACCTGATCTTGAAACCGTTTTTAACGAGGATATCTTGCAGGAAGCGTACCTCCTGATCCGCTTCATTATCTGTGACGATTTTAAACAAGCAAACAATCAGAACCCGTAGCAATGGGCACAAAAACTTTGAAAACGGTGTATTGCCTAGTCGACGGTGCATATCTGTGGAAACCTCGTGAAAATAACCCGTCTACCCGTCTTGTGTAGCTGATATCGGAAATAATCCTCAATTACTTTGCTCTATTTCTATCTATCTATCTATCTATCTATCTATCGATCTATCTATCTATCTATCTATCTATCTATCGATCTATCTATCTATCTATCTATCTATCTATCGATCTATCTATCTATCTATCTATCTATCTATCGATCTATCTATCTATCTATCTATCTATCTATCGATCTATCTATCTATCTATCTATCTATCTATCGATCTATCTATCTATCTATCTATCTATCTATCGATCTATCTATCTATCTATCTATCTATCTATCGATCTATCTATCTATCTATCTATCTATCTATCGATCTATCTATCTATCTATCTATCTATCTATCGATCTATCTATCTATCTATCTATCTATCTATCGATCTATCTATCTATCTATCTATCTATCTATCGATCTATCTATCTATCTATCTATCTATCTATCGATCTATCTATCTATCTATCTATCTATCTATCGATCTATCTATCTATCTATCTATCTATCTATCGATCTATCTATCTATCTATCTATCTATCTATCGATCTATCTATCTATCTATCTATCTATCTATCGATCTATCTATCTATCTATCTATCTATCTATCGATCTATCTATCTATCTATCTATCTATCTATCGATCTATCTATCTATCTATCTATCTATCTATCGATCTATCTATCTATCTATCTATCTATCTATCGATCTATCTATCTATCTATCTATCTATCTATCGATCTATCTATCTATCTATCTATCTATCTATCGATCTATCTATCTATCTATCTATCTATCTATCGATCTATCTATCTATCTATCTATCTATCTATCTATCTATCTATACATCTGTCTATCCATTTATCTATCTATCTACCTATCTATATGTGGGTTCCTCTGAGTGCCATGTACACTTCATGGATTTCATCACGCTCTGAACAAGTCGCCAAAACATTGTCCATATACCGCGTGCTGATCACCAACTTCTGGATTCCTGACCAGGGGCTTTGTTGTATATAGTTTATGAATATATACCTGCGAGAATTGGCCCTACTGACCTTAACTTTGAGCCATGATGCACCTATCGGTAACAAGTGTCATTAAAGATAAGTTGAGGCAACACTAGCGGATACCGAATTCAGATGGGTATACATGTAGTAGAAAACCGCCCCAGTGGTTTCTGACATACTCTGGTTTCCCCCGGAACTTATGTGCCACTCAACCTAAGAAGGGCACTTTGCCGGACGTTGACTTCACCTCCATACTAAATTGATGTGTGGATTCAAGACATTCAGACGGTGGTAGAATTTACTGACCTGTGTGTAATGTAAACATTGCTTCCCTCGCTTGCATTTACCCTTTGCGAAATCGTAATTCACATATTCTTCCGCCCACAGTTTCACGGCTCTGCATATCAAGAAATTAAAGGGTTCCAGAAGGAAGTCATAATGAGATGCGCAGGAAGTGAAACGCCTTGAGTAAGCCTTACAAACCAGTTAATTTGTTCTTCGCGGCGCAAAAAACATCCTCAAAATTCTATTCTTTACACCGTTCTACAAAGGCAGTCACCAATACCGAAAAAAACGCACAGCAACGTGCAGCAGTATTAATCTTCTTTGGAACCTGCGGTGAGCGTCTTATGAAGCTGTGAGGAGAGATGAATATTGGCTACACTAGCAACATTAGTTGTACGTCAGTTTAACACTGTCAGAAATGGCTGGTTAGTAGGGCGAACAAATTTCACATCAACCGAACAAACACCCACTGGTTTTTTGATCACGTGATCCGGTGACCCTTCGCAAATTAATGACCCATTTTAAAACTCTGACTGTAATGTGTACTTGTGATGCATACTCTCAACGATGACTTAACAAATATATAAAATTCCTCTGATCCTCAGCCGAATTCGACTTCTTTGGCAGATGAAATCATTATATCTTTTCAAACTCTGATTCTGAGATAGAACGGAATTGGTAAACATAATCACTCAGTGAGTGTCGCTAAGCTAGCGTGATCAATATTCCTTATTTGGGATGCTCTTGTAGTTGCAGCAAATCTACTTGAAGAAGGCAGAACTCAGGTAAATCACATCAGCAACCCCCGAAAGTAAATGTAATAAAAAGTGCACTGACATTATTTAAGTGTGACCGTCACTGAGTATGGGAGGTCATGCAACATCTTCCAAGCTGCGAATAAATTACTGTAAGCTATTCAGGGTACATCTTGTACGGCTGAGTTGTTTGATAAATTTTGTTCCTTATACTGATAGTCACCAGTATTCTTGGTGTTCATTTTTATCCTCCTTACAACATCACCACTGCCCAAGCGGAATGAAGCACATCAAATCTCTCTATTTGAAAAAGGTAGCCGCCCTGTAACAGGCCGCAAATTTTTTGGATTGCCGGAAGATTTCACCCAAGGGTTTTTGAAAAAGTGGGACATCTATAAAAGAGTAAGTGGATATATAAAAGGTTAGTGGAATCGGAAGACGCTTACATTCACAGCGCTATCGTTTAAACAGTCCTGTCGTAATTATTCTAGTCAGTCTACACCAAAAGCGGAGAGCATTGGGCTCGATTTTCATTTTTATCCGAGGGTGTTACCACTACTCCATCGGGCGAACGATGTTATTAATGCAGATTCTCACAAATCCCACAACGACCTATAACTAATAGTATATTGTCCTGCAGATTGCAACAGCCTTTGTGGCTACTTGAATGGGAACTCTTGACAAGAGGGCCAATCAACAGCCACAATCAGAGCAGTAACTTGATAACCGTTCATCGCGTTTGATGGGTGAGTGACATCGCTGAAGCACGAACACGTTCGCCCTACAGACATGTTAATCAAGGTGCACACTGGCTTCACTTGTAATACTCCTCAGCAGGGCTATGAACACTCACTGATAAGCAGCTCTGATAAGAGCGAAACTCAAGTTCAGTGCTTTTCCTCCTAGGTACAGACTGGCCAGAATAACTGCGAAAGTACAAGACAAAAGGGTTGTGGATGTAAACCTATATAAGTACTGTTTGACCCTGAGGTGTAGGTTATGTGATGATGCACAATGTACTGCATCTAGCCTTCAGTAGACGGATAATACTTTTCTATAAAACCTATTCTACACTTTCATATGATCATCTTCATTAACAACATCGAACTCAACAAAGATTGCCTACTGTGGTTATTCGGTGGGCACTATATCGGAATGGATGGGAAAGCAGTTTCTCAGCAAATTTACTCACTGTCGCAAACTACGCCTTTTTGTTGAAAAAGAAACATAGTTTGCATCTTTGGGATGACGACCATGATAAGAGAAAGGTACCTGACGACTAGAACTAGATGAAATAGGACGAGGATGACGGGAGATATTGAGGCACACAGTTCACCTGTACAATGAAATTACCGTCATGAAAGACCCAGAGAGCATGAATACCGGAAGACCTCAGCATCTCAGATAATTTCCACATAAACTTGTGGCCTAATTCCTCAAGAGTACAACGGCTATTGGGAAGAAAAAACTGATTCCAAATCTCCACGTTTTTATCCCGTGGTCATCTGGGATTTTTAAACTTCATAGTTATGAAAAATAATTGGTCGGCCACACAAAGACACTTCGGCGCTCGTTTAATCCTGATCTCATCAGGTAAATGTATCGGATCGATCGCTTAATATTCAGGCGCATGAAGCAGACTACTAATCCAAAAATCAGACGCTCGTCAAACGCTCATAGCGCAGCTCAAGGCTTGATTTACTTTGGTCACGTGAGTTACAGGCTGCAGGGGACAAAAGTAAAATAAAATCCAGATTCGATGTTGGACCATGTTTGCAGGTGAATAGTAGGGCAACTCAATCAGTAGCTGTTATTTGCTGTGTGCTTTGGTAGGTTACGCTCCTTTTTCCTATATAGCGCACCAAGAGAATTAAATTTCCAAAGCTAGGGGAATTAGTTTCTGTAGAGTTTCTGAGCAGCAATGGTAGACAGATTAGGGGTCAGTTACTTGAAAATAACTTTCAAAAACTCACCGTTCGACGCTGCTTGCAATAGCAACGTTCTGTCCTACGCCTTGCAGTTCACCATGACCGAACAGACATTTGTCTGCCCACTTCTGAGCTTGAGCTTCTACAGTTGAGTCCCAAGCCTATGTTGTGGGAAAGTTAATACATCATAATGTGATGCCGTCCGGTAACGAAAATATGGGTGCACAAGCAAAATGTTTTATTCCAAATGGACAAACACTCAAAAGATTACTGTTTTCGGCCTCAAGGACGAACGGAAATTTCAGCCCCACCGAAGAAGTTTCCCATAAGGGGGACATTCTCGATAATTAGGTACACAATATCTACTCCTTCTCTAATGGGTCCCTTAAAATGCAATAGAAGAATTCGTGGAGTAGGCTGCAAGAGCATGAATTCAGACCAGCAGAAAATGATGATCGGTAACAAGTTGTGAAGATGGAGAGCATAGCTAACCACAAATATGCCAATAGGAATGTTCTCTGGCTTCTTTGTTTGTTCTCCCTGTTACCGGACGCCTTTGAATGAACTGTGCAACGCGCACGTATTTTCTGAAGGCACAACCCAGATGGAGATCTACTGTGTTAATTGTGGTCTCTGACCTTCATTCTAACTTCGGCTAGGAACATGCCTAAAATGTCTCAATTTTCGTCTTCTCGCCTACGGTTTTTAGAGGTTTTGTGTCGACGAATAGACAAAAACGGACTTTTGATTGCATTCCATGGACTCTAAATGAGCGTTATCCTTGTCCACATAGGTCCACTCCTCTGAGACCTCTGCGACCGGAGGGATGCGTGAGGCACATCGGAAGCGTTCGGTGCATTGTCAACATAAACTATATGACGACTGGCACACAGGATTGTGGAAACTAGTAGTTCCATGAAGCTCCTCTCACAATCCATCAAGAATACAACAACAAACTGAAGAATTAAATGATAAGGATGCTAACATCCGTTGCACCTATTTGCATGGACAAGGTAGAACGCCTCCGATGAACGTCTTAGTACACTTGTATGTAGTGTGTAGTCACGTAGATGTACTTGCTAACATAATACCGCTTCAGAAAAACCATCAGTCAAATTTCGAAAATAATTATCCACCTAATGACTTTCTAAGACGATAACTCCTGCTTCATGTTCTGTTTTGTATCAACTAGGTTAAATTTTGAATAAGAACCCCCAATATTTCCGGGCCTACGGGCATGTGGTATGCAAAGCAGTTTGGAGGAAACGACACGTTTTATGGAGCTTATTAAAAATTTAGGGGAGCACACGGTAAAAAAAAATACAGCATGCTCAACATATCACATTTGCAGATTCAGAAAGTTTGAGTTTAAAATTCCCACTTACCATAGGTTCGTAGGGACCTTTCACCGGCGGTTGCCCACGAAGCTTGCAGGTTCTTATTTCATCTCGAAGGTGGTTGTGCATGGTAAGAAACGTCTGTCTCTGATCGTAGCTTGTTCGTTCCCGAGAGGGCTGAATCAACAATAGTAGCAACACGTATCTGGCAAATCTGACTTTGGACATGCTGGTAGAAAAATGTGCTTCACTTGTGTTCATAAATATATATATCTACTGATCCAGCCAAAAATGTGACGCAAATAATGAAAGGTTTTCTTGCTCGCAGAATCTGAAACTGTTTGCTGGCGTGACGCATGAGAAAATGAGTCATCGTCTTGTTAAATGACATGGATTCCAAACTCTCCTTCCGGAGACCCATACCGAGTGTGATTCATCAAAACATGTCGAGACCAGGGCTAGCTCCTCAATCATACGACACCCGAAATTCAGTCAATCAAAATATTGTCAGCATCCAATTTTATAGTTTTCAGCATGTCACATCGGAATCTGTAAAGAAAACCTCTGAATCGCACCAGAGTTTTCTGCCGTCAAGCATTCGAATTTATGTATTTGGCGTGTCAAGTTTCAAACGTCCCTCTGCTGGAGGGTAACCAGTCAGTAAACTTAAGAATTTGTAACACAGATATGATAGTGATTCGATAGAAATTCTAAATATCTTGCCCGTCACGAAGAGACTGGACCTTACCGTGGTGTGAAGGTTTGCGAACCTCAGCGATCCATTGAGCTATACTGGAGAGCGTCCCGCGACACTCACAGATTCTCTCATACCAGGTTGGTCAATGGTTAGAGGTCTGACGAACAGTCTCCTGGCCCTCCAGGTTGGGGGTTGGAACATGTGGCGACCTGTTCCGTAGAAATGGTAATGCATTTGTATTTCTCGCCAAACACCGCTGCCTTGCGGTCGGGCGTTTGAGCCAAAGGCTTTGTTTGAGGATCCAAATCCTTCTTCTGCCTAAGTGTGGGCAGTGTCTCAGCCCCCGTTCAACCATGTACGGCAATGAAGCATCGGTGTTGAACACTGATGTCATGCTGTCGACGATTGTGATATTGAAGTGAAAAAGTCTGCGGTTGATCGACGAGACTCGGTTTCATGGTTCTTGACCATAAATCCACTGGCTACCGAAATTCTGTGGAACCAGTTGTTAAGTTATCACTCCATTAATAACTCTCTCCTTGTAGGCCCAGTACTCAGGACTGATGACTCCGGTCGTCATGCGTCGGTTTTGCGTGCAGTTCATATTTTTTTACGGCAGTGAAGCATCGGTGTTGAACACTGATGTCATGCTGTCGATGATGATGAATATCTTGCAGATTTATCCAGCTCTCTCAGGCTTCAATTCCTTAGGTAACCGAAATGTCAGTTAGAACATTTCGGATGGGCTCTCATGGCTGGTGGGAGAGTAGAAAACCACGCGACTTCATTTCTGAAGCCAACGTTAGAACGTGACACTGGTCTTCATTATATCCTCGCGTAGGTTTATTATCTCGCACAGTTCAAATTAAACTTGTCGAGTGCATCAACGTTTAACGATGAACGGTTGCGACTTGGTGAATTTGCCGGACCTTTAATTTCGTCTAGTTTCCCTTAGCGGGCTCTCCATGGCAGGTTGGGAGCATTCGAAAAAGTTCATGAGAAATCATGAAGGTGACCGGATCGATCTTGCTGTCTAGCGAGTTACTGGATTTCGCCCTATATGACCGGATAATATGGACAATTTTTTGAGGTGTTATCCAACTCCCCACCATAAAATCCTCACTGTAAGCTTATTAGCCTGACAGGTGAAGCCATCGGATATTAACTCCCATTTGGAATCGCATGCGATGCGACACCGACATAGATATACTCACAAACAAGGATGGAATAACGACTTCTCGCAGCTTTACCAAAGTGTTTCTTCGGGCTACTTGTTGACAGGAAGCTTCGAATAATTGATTTCCGGAGAAACCATGAAAGAAGAATAGCCGCTCATTTTTAGGGCTTCATTGAAAAATATTTCCCTCTTTGATCTGCAGAGTATCCCACAACATCTCGCTTTATATCTTGAGAACAAGGTAATTTCTGGAGCATACACATGTCCAACTATGTCGCCATTCCGCAAATACCTATCGTTAGGAGATAACCATTGTTGTCTGTTATACACTAACCAATAAATTAAACGGTACTACATTCGTTATCAGTCCATATGGTGAACTGAAACTGTACCACAGGGTAGAGAAAATAGCCTCCATAGAGAATGTTCGGATAATTGCGAATTCATCATCCCCACAGCGAAGTCCCTCACCAAGAACTTTTGAAGCACATACTAGATAGAACATCGAGCCACTATACACAAGATGAGCTGGTCCGTCAGCAT